CAACAATAATGTCATTTAACGAAAGGATTGACATTCAGGAGCTTAGGACAAATGTTTTAAGACGGATAAATCAGAGACGATTTGAAGATGATGAGGAGGTTTGTTATTTACCGTATACATTTATTACGTCACTTATGACATCTCATTTATGTAATGGTAGCATAGTAAACGTTCCAAAACCCGGCTATGAAGTACTAGTAGTTATGTTAAAATTGTGGATATGTCGGAATAGTTAGTAGTTCAATCATTTTATTACATTTTGTGTGTACTTACTTATCTCGTGCGCAAGACTTAGTAATTCGTTCGCAAGTTACTAAGTCGGGCGCAATGCTCATGAGATAATTAAGTCGTGCACACGAGCTACTATAATAGTTTGTGTGCACGACCAATTTTCTTGCATGTACGACTAGGCGAGTCGTGCGCACGACATAGTATCTTGTGCGCACCACTAAATTATAGTATTAATTAAAAATAAAACTTAGTAATTTAATCACTTAATATATTTTGTGTGATATAAAATATTTTGTCATTTTTTTCTTTACGTACGGTGTCACAGAGGTGACATGTGTGTGCTTTTATTTAAATCTTGCGCAAGAGATACTATTTCGTTCTACTTCGTACACGCAAGAGAATTAGTCGTGCACACAAGATATTATAGTAACTCGTGTGCACGACTTAATTATCTCTCGATTATGGCGCGCGACTTAGTAACTTGTGCGCACTACGTATTATCTCATGCGCACCACTTAATCATCTCGTTCGCACAACTTAGTAACTCGTGCTCACGACTAAGTAACTCGTGCGCACGACATAGTATCTCGTGCGTACAACATAGTATCTCATATCACACACATGTCACCTCTGTGTCGCCGTATTTACGTCATTTATGACATCATAATTCATTTATGTGGTAACAGTAGCAAAAGTTACCGATCTTAACCTTGCAGTGTAACTGCGCCACTATGCAGCTACAATATTATTGTTATAAAAAGTGATAAAAAGTATGGTGGCATATTTCTGCCACCAGATAACAAGCAGTTAATTATATGGTTATCTGGTGGCAAACATAATTATGCCACCATAAATAAGTGATAACAGAAAACACACAAAATTAATTGTTATAAATACGGTGTTCCGTCAGGGCCATTGCTTTTGAGTAAAGTAATCTGAAACGTTTCAATTGTTTCCTAACTTGCAACCGTAAAACACTTTTGGAAATGAGACATTGTTTATAAATTTCACACGAAAACAAGTTTTCACATTGAATTAAAATAATGCGTATGTTAAATAGAATGTTTATAATTACATACTATCGCGTTAAAAGTATTTTGTAAGAAGGATGACCAAAAGTGTTAATATGAAATGCTGGTCTTATACGCTTTGAATAGTACTTTTATGGTGTAACAGTTTTTATGACAATCAAAACATTGCCACATATTTTTATATATATAAATGAGTTAGCAGTTCTAGAAATGTCTTAACAATAAATTTAGATTGTGTAATAATTTTGTAGATGTGCATAGATTTTAACAATTTGAAATGTTATGTAGGGGTTAGATGGTTTATAGTCAAATAGTGAATAGAAAATTACTCTAGTAAATGTAACTTTATATAGGGCGCCTCGTGAAATACATAAATACAATAATTGATATTTCAAAAAGAAAACAATAGTAATTGAAATATGATTAATAAATCTTTACTAGTTATAATGGTTCCTTCCTTCCTTCCTTCCTTCGTCTGTTCCATTTTTTCTTCCTCCGTCCGTTCGTCCGTTCTTTCGTCCGTTCTTTCTTTCGTTGGTTGGTTGGTTCATTCGTTCGTTGGTTCTTCGTTTTCGTTCTTCCGTTCCTTTCTTCATTCGTTCGTGCGTTCCTTTTGCAATAAAAGGGCAAGTTGATAGGAGTGATATAGTTATTGCGCCGGGAACCTGTACTGGAAAACAGTGCTGAAATACTAAGCACATTGGAAACATGTTTGAAATAACGACAACATCGTAAATAAGAGAGAGTTGCAACAACTACCGCAACGGAAAACAGAACCTGCTTTTTTTTGATTACCATATCCGAAAAAAGGACCAGACTGCATTAATTCTCCCATAACTACATTGGAAAAAGATTTGGTTTAAAACGTTAAGAACTTCTTGCAATATTTTCTTCGCTGGAAAAAAGCAACGATTGATGTGTGTGGGGGGGGGGGGGGGAGAGAAACTAGACGCAATAATATCCACACATGAAAAAATCTACCGCTGTAGGAAGAAAAAAAATGAAACGGACTTTTCTTTTACCTAATGAAAAAAAAGAAACGGAAAGAGAACGGGTTTGATATCAATTGCCATATTGAAAAAGAACTGGTTTTAGAAGTTTCAACACGGGATAACTGGTTTTAATTATCACATCGTCAGGAAACGGGATAGTATACTGTATGCCCTTATGATCACAGAACCAGATTTTTTTGTCTTCTTGAGACGCTCGTAACTTCCGTTTCCGGTTTCCCTTTTTACGCAACATCAAAATATATTTGAGCCGCGTCACGACAAAACCAACATAATGGGTTTGCGACCAGCATGGATCCAGACCAGCCTGCGCATCCGCCCAGTCTGATCAGGATCCATGCTGTTCGCTTACAGACCCTATACATGTAACAAGTAGAGAAACTGATAGCGAACAGCATGGATCCTGATCAGACTGCGCGGATGCGCAGGCTTGGTCTGGATCCATGCTGGTCGCAAATACAACATGTTGGTTTTGTCGTGATGCGGCTCATTTATCTAACCAAACTAATATACGATTATTTTTTCTCATTAAATTGATTTTTACTAAGTTAATGCAATACTGCATATATTTGCTTTCAATTTTTAAAGCAATTACTCATATTACATTAAATGTTTGTTGATTATAAATTTATGAATACATTTGTATACAAACACACTTTTTATATTTGATATACTGGAATAATGCTTGCGCAAATTAGTTTTACTTGAGAATTGTAAAGACTGCCATTTTGTTATACCAGGCGAAATGCTTTTGCGTTCACCATCTCAAATTCAAATTGATTTAATTTGAAGATATGGCAGTTATAGATTAATTGAATAAGATAATTTTTACTGTACAAGATAGTTGATATAAACCGCTGTATTGTGTTTTGGCGTCGCTTTACAAACGGTCCTTATTCAATATTAATAAATGAATGTTTTCGATTACGATGACAAGTTATTGATTATTTGTTAGTTAAATAAATATAATTTAGCGCACAGATTTGAACGTAAATTAATGCCTATACAGCTTTTTCAATAGGAAGGGGAACTTGGGTACAAAAGCGCGTTTATTTGATTACAAAATGAACACAAAAACCACATGTCCAATAGCGCATATAAAAATCGCGTAAAATTCGGTCCATATAAGTTTTATGTTCATAAACTGTTCAAGTTTTTTAATCACAGTAGAAAAAGGAGATTTTTTCCTGTACAATGCCTTTTCTTTCCATTAAAGAAATATTTTATGGATCGTGGATAGAGTAACGTGAAATATTTAAAATAGTGAAAATAGTTGGAATTTATCATTTTATAGTTCTTTAAAAAACGGGAAAAAACCGTCGTTTTTAGAAATGAAAAAAAAAATATTATGTAAAGGATAGATAATCTATATCTGAAGGATTGTTTGTTGAACTTAGGAATATTTACGACATTTGTAAAGTGTCATTTTAGTACGAATTTTATAACCAGTCGTAGCAATGGTCAAATCTAAAATGTCATCATTTGTTCATGAAAAATACATTTGAAAGATATAATCCAAAAGATAAAATCGCTAATCAAAGTTTTTTTCCGGACAAAAATACACAAGGATTTTACTGAAATCGCGTTAATTAACTTTTTTATGTGTCGGTCGATAGCAAAAACAAGTACTTTTCGCGTTTGTTTGAACAGAGACAGATTTACAAAAGGTGATAACCATTTTCAACAAATGGTTGCCATAGAGATAACATGTCTGAGTTGCTAATATTTCCAAGGATTCTTTACTATTACCATAATAAGTGTCTGTAAAAGGTAATTCAAGCCAACTGCCACACTGGAATAAATGGATGTTACGCAGAAAAAAAATACGTAAACGCTGAGATGTTAAAGTATTAAAAGAAAATAGAAAAGAAAATAGAAAAGAAAAAGTTGTGTAAACAAAATATAATTATTGGATACATGTACATTAATTGTCATTTTTGTTTTGGAAAAAAATATACTTTATAAAAAAATGTATTGGGCAAACCGCGCTGTTTATTATAACTCTACGATACTGAATATTATAAGTATGTAATTTAGCACTAAACACGCACCAGAAAATGCGCGAATCAATGAAATAAGTGCACATCTTAACGTAACAAATAAAATGGTTAGGGCGTTATGATAATGATAAATTCACTTCACCATTGATTGATATCAGTTCGAAAAAAAAATAAATAAAAAAACGATTCTATATCATTCCATATCATTTTACAATGAAATCGATCTTAAATTAGATTGGAAATTGAAATGCGGTAACAGAATGTTTTTGCTATTTTTTTGACGTTGATTTATCTATACACCGTATCAGAGATTAACAAAGATTTGTAATATAACAAAATCTTGCAATTGATGACATGTTAAAATGCATTATCGCGCTGTGAGTGATTAAAATGTATTTGATGAGTATTAGGAGATAACTAAAATGTCGACCAATCGTGAACATCTAAGTAACGAGGGTCATTGCAGGAATGCACGTATTACTTAAGGTCATTGAACATGCGAACGTTTAATGCATTTAGCACTCATCAGATGGGAGAATGAAAAAAATAAAACTAAGTTAGACTTGAATATAAACAAACAAAAAACATTGTGAATAAACGACTTTTTAGCAATTGGGAGTAAACCTTGCATAAGAAAAGAAAGGAAGTATAGTTTCGAGTTTTAAAATCATAAGAAATTAAGAGATGATATATGTATTATAAAATTTCATATTTCTAACTTAAAGACATTCATGAATATTGGGAATTTGGAAAATAAACGGCGAGAATCATAAAAAAATGACGAGGGTATGTTTTGAATATATTTTACCCGAATCCGTACTAACATACAAATTCAAATTATAAAAGGATAAATTTTAGTGATTTAATTTTAAACCGTGGCGCTGCCGGAGAAGTTGAAAAACCAACAATTAATTATGGCTAAGTTAAAATCAAAGATCCCAGTACGGAGACCGTACTCAGATGAAAGGAGTAAGCCGACAAGAGGCTTTCCCGATCAATCAGACTTAAGAAGGATTTCCAGCGATTTGTCGAAACCTAAAAATAGACACCCTGAGGCTGATGAAAACTCTGTTCATTCATTGGATATTAGTAGTAAGAACCTGAGAGTAAGACGGTTTACCGTGACGATTAAGGACAGCAAAGGTGAGTTTGTTAAACGAAGAAAAAGTTACAAGTTAACGTATAACCAAGAAAACGACGGTGGTGATGAGTATGAAATTGAAAAGAAAAGTGTTAGTGATACATCGGCAAAGGAATTTAATGACACGCATGATGTTGTAGATGACTTATCTCACAATGAATCAGCAAATTATATATTTGACGACACCGTGTCGATTATCTCAGATCGTTCTAAAAAGGATGATCCTATTCCAAATGTAACCGTTGCGGATAATTTTGAAACCTATGAAAGTGAGAAGTCCCAAACGGTATTTACGGATGACACATCTATACCGATATTTGACGATGAAAGTTCAGAGTCGAATGCAGCCTTTGGAGATAAATTCGCTAGAGACAGTAGTGTACCATCACAGATCTATAGCCCAGTTTCTGGGACAACGATTAGACTGCTAACACCGCAAGATAGAAATGAAAGGAATATACTTTTTCAGGACCGTCCATTTAGAAAAATTGCAAAGGTCAGTAAAGCGGGCACTTTTGTATCGTCAGAAAAGAAAGTCCTAGATGACGAAAAAGCTTCCACGCTGACAACTGTAAATGATACTGAAGCAGAAACTGCATCCATGTCAAAAGAAGACACAAGCACTAGTCTCCCACCCAAAAATTTCAAAGCCAATTTGTTTAACAGAATTCGAATGATATCTACTCCAAGAAGGACACCTAAGTTCTCGCCTATACTACATTCATCTAACACAGGTAAACTATCTTCCACAAATCAAAGACTGGTATCAAACGGTACAGAAAACACTTTTGTGAAAGATTCAGTTCCGGTGCGATTAAAACCTATTGCCACTCACGATATTGCAAAAATGCATCACGGTAACCAAAATAACGGTGTAAAGTCTGATCAAGTAGCAGACAAAGACGCTGAAGAGCGTTACGAACTTATTGATTTAGATGAATCAAGGTTAACATTTAAACCAAAACGCCACCGTAGAAGCGTAGACACTAGCAAAACTAAAGGACAACCCGTACAAGATTCTAATCTTCCAGTCAGGATTGAACGCCAAATCAATGCTCAAACAAATCAATCTGCAGGGTTAGTAACTCAAAGTGCCATATTGAATAAACCAGTTTTAAAACAATCTCCAAAGACTAGCCTACTGCGATCTCAGGGAAACCCATTGCTCAAGTCAAATCGTGTTTTAGAATCATCAAACAATGATATATTTTCGGAAGCAGACAAGAGGTCAAGACTTCGACAAGCTCAATACATCAATGATGATTTAAGAATAGTAAAAACTAAATTGCAAGACGATGACTTTGTGGCATTACATATAGATTCAAAACTTAGAGAAACGATACAAAAGAAGAATGTGTTGAACCATTTAAATAAAACTCCAGTAGTGAAAGAGAGTGAAATGCCCCCTTTCCCTAAAAAACCGTTACTTGCTAAACCTTTGGTTCCAAAATATACCAACAAAATGTTCATGACACCTAATCCGAAACCCGCAGATATTGATATCAGTAATAAAGTGTTAGGAAATCAAAACAGTTTAGCCGAAGTGCAAACTAACAGGAATTCTCGATTTTTAGACACAAGTGCTAGTACAGACTTGAGAAAGGATTTAACACATAAGCGCAATATATGGCAAGTGCAGCCAAAAATCCACAGGTTTAATTCAAATAAAGTAAGAGAGATTGGTAATAAACAAGACGGTAATACCGTCACAAAACATTCTAATGCCACTAGTAACGTGGCGGCATGGCTTTTGCATTCAGCAGGTGGCGCTAACAGAGCCAACTCGAGGCGGAAAAGCCAGCAAACTGGGAAGGCTTCATTCCAAATAAGGCGGAGAGTGTTAAACAGGAAGTGGAAATTTATGCATAGACAAGACAAACAAAGAAAACAAAGGCAAGAAAGAGAATTGAAGGAAAATAAATCTACTGAGGTTCAGCCGGTAGAGGAAGTTAATCTGATAAACCTTGGAATGTACATGCCGTTAGGAATAAAGAAGTTAAAACGGAAGCCGATTAGACTTAAACCTCGATTGTACACGCAGGTTGGCAAGGTCAAAGGTTACGAGGTATGTTAAACACGCAAATTTTAGTCAGTATAATCATTAGATCTTTTTACAGATTATGTTTATTAAAACAAAGAAACAACATTTGCACATGTGCATTTACCCTCTCAAACCGTTTCATTCCGCCCTACCCACTTTCACGCTCCTTCGCCCCTTCCCTGCCATCCTCCCCTATCCCGCTCCCTCAACTCCCGTGATCTGTCCTACAAAAGCTATATACATCTTATATACTCATAACAATATATCTTTCTATCAAATGAATTATTTAAGCAAACAACACTTGCACTGTGTGCATTTACCCCACCGCTCCATTCCCCTTTTTCCCTTTTCCGTTCTCCGTTTATTTTAAGATATTTAAGAGTCTTTTGTGATTTTTTGTTTGTTTGTTTTCGGGGCACCAACACAGTTTAGGTGATATGGCACCGACATAGGAAATATTATTTTGGCTAACCTCGTGTGTTACAAATTTAAAGGAACACCACGTTTCAAACCACTTCACCTGCTGGAGCTAAGAAATGCACAGACTCCAATAATTTTAACAAATGTGTCGTCACTTGCGATCACGCCGTGTTAAACGGTGGCTGAAAACCTGATACCTCAATCCGTACAGGCAACCCGTCAGCCACAAGGGGAGATTTTGTATACACGATCTATTAAAAGAAACAACAAATAAAGCACAGTCTTTTTTAAAATGGTTAATTCAAAGTATTTAATCTAAAAATATATACGTTTAAGGCGGCTGTGTAATGACAATATACAATATAGCACATGCATTACCAAACAAACAGACAATATTTCCTCTACAAATTAAAACACTACTGTGATTCAGAAACGATTGTGAAGGTGACAACTTAGTGTTTCCTTCTCCGGTGATTGTTAATGGAAATCGATAAGTTCGTAAATCTTGCTCTTATTCAACACCTATTCATATCAAGGTATTTTTGTACTAGCAAAGCATTCAAATTGTCATACAATACATGACTTTTTATATCTAAGATATAAAAAAACTAAAAATGTTAGTTGATTCAACTTCCTTGAACTTCATTCGTTCTTTGTTTGTTCGTAAATTAAGGTAAAGTAAAAAAAAAAAGTAAAGTAAAGTAAAGTGATGTAAAATTTAGCTTAGTTAAGTTTAGTTTGGTTAAGGTTAATCATTCCTTCTTTAATTTTTTTCCTTTGTCCGTTTACTCGTTCGTTTGTATGTTCGTTTGTTCTTAAAATATTGTATTGGTTGATATGTTGTTTGATTATGGTTTTTGCACTAATGAAATGTAGTTAGGATACGCTACAGTTATTTAATTAAAACAGTGTGCAGGGAATACATTACTATAAAAGTAACCTTTAGATAAATATTTTAAAGGATGATGCGTCAAAGTCATTTAGATTGACATACAAACTTTTAAAGTCCATTCTTCCGCACGGATGCTTTTACTTTTGTTTCTCGAGATATAATTTTTAAATTTTGTGTCCTTTTATATTATCCAAAACGTTCATCATTGGCCAATAACTTTAATCATGTTTTGCTTCTGTTCCTTTTGGCAATAAGTATACACTTTAATCATCTTTTGCTTCTGTTCCTTTTGGCAATAAGTATACACTTTAATCATCTTTTGCTTCTGTTCCTTTTGGCAATAACTATACACTTTAATCATCTTTTGCTTCTGTTCCTTTTGGCAATAAGTATACACTTTAATCATCTTTTGCTTCTGTTCCTTTTGGCAATAAGTATACACTTTAATCATCTTTTGCTTCTGTTCCTTTTGGCAATAAGTATACACTTTAATCATCTTTTGCTTCTGTTCCTTTTGGCAATAAGTATACACTTTAATCAACTTTTGCTTCTGTTCCTTTTGGCAATAAGTATACACTTTAATCATCTTTTGCTTCTGTTCCTTTTGGCAATAACTATACAGTTATAGTGAATTTGTATTTTGTATTGAAGTCAATATACTACTTTGTTTACGTTTTCCTACTTTTATGACAAATTATTTAACATTCACATATTTCTGCATGTGATTAGCGTCTAACATGATCTAAAACCCAGAATTCAAATAATGTTAAAAAATCATGTTTGCCCTTTCTTAAAAAGGAACAAAAGGGGAGAAAATATTTGTTTCTGAAGCATAATATGCCTTTAATGATGTACTGTTCTTTTAAGTGTGTTTTTAGGTGTGTTTGTATTGATCAATGTTGATTAAAATATTATTTACCTTTTGATTTGACAGATATAAAAATATGAAAAGTGCAACAATAAGTTGAAATTTTAAGAGTACGGAATTTATTGATTGGATTTTCGTTTTGTTTATTAATCATTAACGCTTTTTGTCCCTATTTTTTTCATAAAGTAATTTAAGTTCATATCTGATTCGTCAATAATAATGTATATTCATAATCATTTAACATGAAAGAATGTTATTTTTGTTCGTCAATCGATTTTATGTAATAACTGAGCCAATATCAGATTTCGCCTGTAATATTGTCCTTTTCAATTTTTCACAAAATGCATGATCATTTTATAAAAAATAAATTTGCATGCTTGTAAGTACATAAAATATTGTTAACTAAGACATTTACAGGATAAGATATTAAACATATTTTTTTCTGGTAGTGTCATAAACCTAAATTAAAACTGATTTTCCCTCGTCCTTATGTCAAAATCCCAATTTCAGCTGTATATCCTGTATATTTGTATTACTTAAAATACATATTGTTATTAACTAACGCAAAATATAACCTTTATATAATGTATTTTATACCGAAAAAGCCTCAGTTAAGTATTTCAATTTGCAAAATGCAAGTTTTCTAATTTTGTCCCCAACTTTTTTGACAAAAATGTCCTTCAAGTAACAGTAATATAAGTAGATTTTTTTAGTTTAAGTAAATTGTTCCAGTGTGCTCTTCAAAAGAAGGTGATAGGTATAATACATGGCTACAGCAACGAAACATAATGGACATTTTAAATAGGATTTAGAAAATTGGAAAGACATTGATTAAAGGTTGGAACCATGATTTCGAACAGTGTCCTTTAAGTAACGAGATTCTTATTGTTTAAACTTATGAGAAAGATTCCCTTTTGTATTGCTGCTATTAGCAAATATGTTTCAGTCATGAATTAAATGATCAAAATTGTCTCCCTTATCTTATCTGTGTAAACAGGCTGTAAAATAACCTGAATAAGTCCTTGCAGTAACTGTCCTTACAATAATGTTACTGCAAGTACAAAAATCTGTTACTGAAAGTACAAAATACAACACAATTCTTCTTTAACATATAATTATGGATAAAGATACGATATACATTTTCTTGTTGGCATAATATATTTATTATTAATATATTTATTCTATATTTACACATTTAATGCCATTTAAAACTTCTGCTTTATGTTATTTTGTTATTCGAAGGACAACCTGTGTTATTGAAAGGACTTTTTAATTCAAACTCAATGTTCTGTACTAACATATCTACATTCAAACTTGGAGAAAGTTTCTTTTTTGTTTCAGTATATATATTCATTTGGGTTATTTTTTTGCTTTTACAGTACATTGCTTTTGTAAAATTGAGGAAAATCTGAATAATCTTGCACCCTTTAGAATCCTCAACATTAAGTTACTGTAAGGACAATATACATCTTGTGGTAATTGAAATGCATGTCATTTCACAAAATAACAGTTACTGTAGCGATTTTAGAAATAAAAGTAATAAGGCAGTACCAGTATATTGAAGGAAAGTTCTTAGTACTTATCTCTACAGAGACTTATTTTTTGCATAGAATTACAGTTTACTTTGCAAAAAATAGAAATCAAACCTAACTTATATCATTCACAAGCATGCCTTTAAGGCATTTTTACAAAAGAAAATTGTTGTCTTCAAAACTACAAAAAATTAGTCATTAAAAAGTAGTCCCTTGAAACTTAGAACATGACTGTTTGTTACTTGGCCTCATGTAACATTCCTGGCATTATCGTACTTTGTGAACACAGTAAGTTTCTATTTTGTTTTGTTTGCTTAAAATGCTGCACCAAAAACTCTTAAGGTCAATCGCAAATTATAAGCTTGAATGGTTGAAAAAGACACCAGGTTATTTCAGACAACAGAAGGGCCACTGACAATTTGTAAGCTGAATGATGGCTTTGTCACAAGAAAGAATCTCTGTAAATGTATTTACATTCATTCAGGAGGATTTAAAATTATGCATTCTAAAAGGTCAAGAACTTTTGCATTTAATTTTAATTATTTAACTTAAAAAAACTCCTGATTAAAAATATAGCATGTACTATCAATCTTCAATATTTCTGATGGTATTCTCTATGAACTTGTTTATAAATTGACTGGGACAGGTTTTAGACTGAATTATGCGAACTCACAACATTGCTTGGTTACCTTAAAGACTTGTAACTTTTCCCCATTTTAAATTCATGTCTGTACAATTGTGAAATATTTATATTTTATACAAATAGTAGTAATGGTGTTTAAATTCAAATGATTATTGTTTGTAAATAAATGATAACACTGTAAATAAATGATAATACCTTATCATTTCTTTATTTTTTTGTCATTTCAGTAACAAATATGTCCGTCCTGTAACTTTAAAAGAGAGCTTCCCTTACTTTTGCTATTCAAATTCAAGATCTATTTAAGAATAATTCAAAGCTTATTTTCATTTCTGAATGTTGTTAGCATTTAATTGTTAGTTATATGATAAAAAATAAACGTAAATTTACAGTTATAGTCCTTTAAGTAACATTCATTAGTCCTTGCAGTAACAAGCATGTCCTTGGTGTAACACCGATTAATTTCTAGTTCTGCAATATAGCAACATAGTAAAAGTTTATTTTTGCATTCAGATTGATAAAACTTATTCTGTTCATAAAAATAGAACAAGAAAAAATGATATTCTTACGTGCGTGCGAAACATACTGACATTGTTTTACTCAATTTCCAGTTTTGTTTACGGTTGAAGACAAAAAAAAGTCTTTTGTAGAGAAAACATATACATCTATAAA